AATGGTTGATGTTCCAGGGTCCTGCCTTTACCAGAAAGCTGCTCTGTGCCCTCACCGGCCCACTCCATTCTGCTGCGCTCATCTCGGGGGCTTCCTTAGTCCCCCTGTCACCTGTGCCCTCTGCTATTCCCCCCCCCCCCCCCCCCCCAATAGCCAAGTGAGCTCAGTGGAGGCAAATCCTGGGGCCTGGGGCCTTTTCTTTCTCCCTCCCAGAGCACACCTGAGCCCAGCTTCTTGACAGGAATCGACATGAATTATAATTGTTTATCCTTCCCCCGCTCCCCCTGCCACCACCCAGTACAAATGTCAAGAGAGTGTACGGTGCAGTGGAGGGGACCATGGACCTGGGTCCCAACTCCGTCCCTCATTCCCTGTGGCATCACGGGTGAGCTGCTGATTCTCTCTCAGCCTCCGTGTCTTCCCGCGTAAGGATAAGGGGCCCCTCCCTCCCCTGAGGAGTGAGCACTGTAATTGTTATCAAGTGCTTCTCGGGGCCTGGCACTTGGTAAGGGGCTGAGGTTAGCTATCAGTAAGATGAGAGAACACAGAAGTGTCCAGGCCTCCTTTTTCCATGTTGCAGGGAGTCCTTAGAGGAGAATTCTGGGGTGAGTGCCCCCTCTGCTCCCCTGGCTCATCTCTCAGAGTACTGCCTGCCCGTGTGCCTCTCCCCAGGCCCAGTGGACAGCAGTTCCTCAGGGCCTCCCAGGCCCTGGCGCTAGGACACCAGGCTGGGTTCCCGAGGGTCCAAGTCCAGGATTGGGTCCCTGGGTGGGATGCAGTGGGGAAGGCAAGTCGGCGGGACTGTCAGTCAGGACTCACACCCACGACACCCAGCAAAGCTGGAGGGAAAACCAAGTTGGGCTCCAAAGGACATTTTCAGAAATGACCCATTGAGAAACTCAGAGAAGCCCTACTAATGTGGAAAGCGGGGGACAGGGCCCCCAAGGGGAGAGGCAGACTAACAACCACACTGCCACCACCATCAGTAATAACTCTCTGCCGGCCCCACAACTAATGTCTGATGTGTTATCTCCTTTAATCCTTCAAACAACTGTGTGAAGGGATTGTTATTCCCTTTTATGGAAGAGGAAACAGGCTCAGAGACATGGTGTCTTATCCAAGGCAACTCAGAGGTGGAGCCAGAACTCAAACCCTTGCTCTCAAAGACCACAGCGAAGCTTCCTCTGGATGCCAGAGCCGAGTCACAGGCCCTGGAGATGGGGAGGTCGGTGGGCACGAACCATCCTTCCTGTCTCGTGACTGAGGCCCTGCTCCATTGTCACAGGGAGCAGCAGGCTCAGGCAGGCAACGCTGAAGGACGGCACACAGCCACGTCCCGGGCCTGGACTCCCGGGGCAGTGCCCCCTCCAAGGCAGATCCTCCAGCTACGGTTCCTCTCAGTGACCGGGGACTCTGGTGGTTGTGCACTTTCCTTTGGTGCCCCATAGTGCCTGCAACCAAGTGCTGGGCACCCTCCTCAGGCCCGCCTGTTTCTAATTCGTAACTGCTCTAAACCTGCAGCAGCCCTTTGGGGCTTTCAGCACCAAGCAAGGACCAAATCTGCTTTTCTCTTTCCTGGGGTTAGTCCCGGGTAGCCAGTAGAAATCACCATCTCTTGCAGGCCAGACTCCTCCCCCTCCCCACCATGTTGCCCGCGTTGCTTGGCATGGGGCAGCCCAGTGCAGACGGTAGAGCGGCCACAGACTGGGCTGGAATCCACTCCATCACTCTCTGCTGTGGACCTTGGCCAAGTGACCTGACCTCTCTAAGCCTCAGGGACCTCATCAGGGAAAGGGGATAATGAGAACTCTTCCTCCTAGGGTTGGCGTTTAGGTAAAGCGGCTGATCCGTGAGGAGTGTACGCTTCGCCCTGGGCCCCGGGCCCTGAATGGGTGGAAGAAATGAGAGCGCTCACCGCTCAAGACAGACCCGCCTCTGTGGCACAGCCTGGCCTGAGCACCCTGTTCGAGGCAGACCTCTCATTTTTTTCTGACTCACAGCACCCTGTTCTTGTTCTTCAAAAGCACTCAGCCCAGTTTGTAATTATATACGTGTTTGTTTACTTGTCCATGAGAGCAGGGACCGTCCGTTTCCCAGCGCTCAATCCCGAGCGCCAAGGGCAGGAGCACAGCAAATGTTGCGTGAATGAATGACACTCCTTCCCCAGTCTTTAGGCAGAGGAGGACGAGGGCTTTTTGCCTTTTGTCGGAGGATTGGCCTTTCAGAGCCCCCCTGTATTCCTCAGCCTTCCTTCAGAGATGATCCCGTGGCGGGTACAGCTGGGAAGGGCTGGGTGCTACCACTCCTATCTGCAGCCACAGAACAGCCGGGTCAGAGGAGCTGGGGGAACCCCACAATAGGGTCTTACACTCACCTTGTTGGCCCTGGTCCTTGATGGGTGATGGGGACATTCTGGGACTGCTTCTGCCCTGCCACTTATATCTGTGGCCCCAAAGCCACACTGAGTCTCCACCAGAGCCCCTTGTCGGCCATGGCACCTGAAGCCAGGCCTGACTTTCAGGAGAGGACTCTCTGCCTCCCTTTTTCCTCCAGTCCCATCTCCTAGGTCTCTCCTGCCTTCTGCCCTCAACTGAGACCAGGGCCCCCTGGCCTTGGCAGATGTGTGAGGCTGGGGGAGGCACTTTGAGTCCAGATGTGATTGTGTTTATGTTTCCAGAGAGTGAGGGGTTTCCAGAGAGTGAGGGGTCGGAGCTCTGGACTGGAGCCGTTGGGGGAGGGGTGGTCTGGCTCCAGCCCCCTGCCCTGGCCTTCCCTCCCCCCACCTCCCTCCCCTGGCCTGTATATCTGGCCCTGTCCTCAGAACCCCACACTGTAAGTCCTCCAGCAGTCCTGTAAGTCCTACAGGATGGCTGGGCCATCCTCCAGGAAGGACCCTTCCTCACTCCTCATCTAAATGTGGGAAGATCGGTGGAAAGATGCTTTGGAATATAAAGACTGTTGACTCCCCTGTGACCCTGGCCCAGTCGCAGAGCATGGTGAAGTCTCGGTTCCATCACCTGTGTAATAGGGACAACACTCCTGCCCTCAGAGGCAGTGTTGACCTGGTTTGAGAATGTGTGCACAGGGCTCTCCAGCTATCAGCTGGTGATTAAGCCCATGGCTGTGCCCCACTTACATCTAGGGCTTGCCGGGGGTCCGGCTCCAGGGCAGTGCCAATCCCAGTCACAAGGTGAGTCTGAAGCAGAATACCAACCCCTCCTTCCTCCCCCCGCTTCAGCTGCAAACATTCTGTTTTGCCACTGGAAGTGACTGACTTCAGGGAAGCAGATCTTTACAGGCACTTTACAGGCTGGTCTTGTTCATCGTTTCCAAAGCCTGGGAGGGTGGAAGAGCCCTCAGCCTCCTTCTGATACCTTGGGGTGGAAGGGAAGTGAGATGTTCATTCTGTGCCATGGACACTTTCTCCAGCACAGCCTGAGTGGGATTTCCGTGGGGGGAATAGCTGAGGGAGGCCCTGGCTAGACACTGGCAGATCCTGCATCCTCAGTCCTCCTGGAACAGCTAGGGTAGAGCTCCAAGGTGGGAGTCCTGGGCCCACAGGAGACAAGACAACTCCAGGACTAAAGGGGCCCTGGGCGGCCCTCACCACAACTCTCAGGGTGGACAAGGGCCACACAGCACCCCGAGGGCTTGGGGGTTCCCGCCGACACAGCTTGGGAAGAGCCTGCAGAGTCCGGCAGCTGGGGAAGCGGGGGTGCTGGCTAGGGCGCTGAGCACAGCGCCGCGCCGAGGCTGAGCGGTCCCGCCGGAGAGCCCCTGGTGAGCTCAGAGCTCCGGACGGGGCCCTCACGGAGTGGGGCTGAGCAGGTCAGGAATTGTGGTGGGAAGAGAGAGCACCTCCCACTCCACCAGGAGGCGGCCGCTGAGCTCCTCTCTTACCCCACAGGGCCCATGGTGGCGCCGTTCCCTTCCTACCCGCCTCCCTCCTCAGTGGAATGAAGCAGTCGGGGCTCGGCAGTGGTTAGCACGCTTGTACTATGGTTTTAATAGACGTACATGGACAAGTCGATATAGACAGATTTATAATTCTATACAGTCAGTCCGACATACACAGGGACGCTGTAAACAGGGGCGCGGGCCGGAGAGCCGGTGTGCAAAGTGGGCGCGGCGCAGGGGGGGGTGCTGGCCGCGCCCCGAGCTCTCCCGGCTCGACACTTGCACCGCGGGCGGTGAGGAGGGGGCTCTTCGCCGGGCCAAGGGGGCCACCTCCTAGCCCGGGAGCGGAGAGGAGGGTCTGGGCCTGTGGCGAAACTTGGGCGGGCGGGGGGGGGGGGCCGGGGGGCTCGGAGACGAGCCCACCCCATTCTCCCGCCACGTCCGCACCGCCAGCTGGGGCTCCGTAGCCTTAAAATAGGCCTCCGGTGCTCGGGGCTGCCGAGGGCTCTCGGGGCGCGCCGTGGCCGCGTGCGGCTCCACAGCGAGTCCCCGAACCCAGGCTGGGCGCCGTCATCCCGGACCCAGCGCCCGCTCCAACTCGGATCCGAATCGAGCTAAGGTACGCTCGGCCGGGCCCAGCTTGGAGGGGGCGCCTCGGTTCCTACAGGGCCGAAGCCGGCCTGCGCGGGCTCCGCACGTCCAGTTCGCAGGCGCGGCCGCTCCTCCCGGGTCCAGCGCGGCGGGAACGCGGGCTACGAGGGCGTCCTCCTCGGCCCGCCGGCCTCCCGCGCCGCGCCCCCTCCGCGTGACGGGCCCGCCCGGCCCGAGGGAGCGAACACACACCACCCGCGCCATCCCGAGGGAAATTGCAACTCATCCGTTTTTTCGCAGCACTTTTCTCCGACGTCTTTTCGTTTTGTTTCGTCCGGTTTGGGAGGGCAGAGTGGGGTCCAGAAAAAGCAAACACACAACCAGCCCGGAGGTGGGGAGGTGGGGAGGAGAGGGCTGCGCGGGCGCAGGGGCCGCGGCGTGGCTAAGTCCTCCGCGCCGCCCCCGCCCCGGCGCCAACCCCGGCCGCGGGCCCGCGGGGCCTGGCGGGCCGGTCAGCTGTTGTACTGGCACGCATTGAGGCCCGAGGCCGGGCCCTGCAGGCCGCCGTAGCCGAACGACGAGTGCTGCTTGGACTTGAGCCGCAGGCTGGCCAGGCTCGAGTTGCACGTGTCCCGGTAGACGCTGTAGGGCGAGGCGGGCGTGCCGTACGGGCAGGCGCCCGGTGACATGGCCGAGTTAAGCGAGGAGCCGGTGAGGTTGTTGATGTTGTTGAGGCCCGAGTTGGGCATGCCGGGCACGGCGCCGGGGCCCATGCTGGACGGCATGGTCATGGAGGAGATGGAGCTGGGTGCCGAGAACATGGACTGCGAGGACAGCGGGCTCATGGAGTTGAAGAAGGTGAAGCTCTTGGTGGAGAGTGGCGCTGGAGCCAGGCTCTTGGCGGCCCAGTTGTTGTAGGAGTAGCCGGCGGCGTACACGTCCTCGTAGGGCTGCACCAGGCCGCTGAACTGCGGCACGTAGCCGCCCTTGCACAGGTCCAGCTGCTGGTTACGCTCGCGCTTCCGCCACTTGGCTCGCCGGTTCTTGAACCAGACCTGGGGGAGGGGGCAGGAGAAGGGTCAGGGCTGCCGAGGGCGGGAAGGCCCCTCCACCTCCACCCCCTCCGCCCCCTCCGCCCCGAGCCCGCCGCCGCTGCCGTCTCTCCAAATAGCGTCTCTTTTCTTCGTTATTTCCGCCCCTGCGGGCCGCGCTCCTTAATGGTTCCTTTCCTGTCCCCAGAAAACATTTCGTCTTTCCCCTTTTCTGATCTATATCCACTCCCCCAAGTTAAATCTGATGTCTTCTCCTAATATGGATCGATCCTCTTTTGTTTCAGCGAATATTCGTTTGCTTTCTTTCTCTCTCAACCAGTCCATCTCCGGCCTTCTCCCCTAAAGGGGTCCCGGTCTATCTCCTAAATATTCCATCCTTTTTCTTCTCCCTCCAATACAAAAGGTGTTTTTCTTCCCTGAAATATTGGATCTTCTGACTCCCTTTATTCTATTATTTCATTCCTCAAAGAGTCTGTATCCATATTTACTGGGAATCTTTGATATTCTCATTTCTGCCCCAAATGTTTATTTTCTTTTGGTCTACCCCGCTATCTGAACTGCTTTCTTTTCCCTCAGTCCATCTTCTCCGTTATCCCTCATTTTTGATCCTTTTGATTCTTCCCCCAATATTTAGTTTCCCCTGTCTTTCCAAACATCTGACCGTCACTGTTTCTCTTAAATAGTTGATTCTTTATTTTTCTCAAATATTTGATCCTTTTGCCCTTAAATATTTAATTTTTCCTGCCACCTAAATATATGCCACATATGTTTCTTTGCAAATATTTAATTTCCTTTCACTTCTTACTAGTTTCTCTCTAATCTCCCCTCCACTCTCTCCCACAAAATTTAGTAAGAACCTGTTCTTTCCCAACTCCTGGTCCTTGCCCAACCGCTCCTATCCTCCTACTGTATGCTTCTATCCTCTGAAGCCCTCCTCCAGCCCTGGGCTGACTTTCCTGAGCTAGCTGCCGACCCCCGCATCTCAGCCTTTTCCAATCCCCGGCACTGACACTGCCTGATTCCACCCCCACACCACCCCTACCACCGTAAACCTGGGCAGGATTAGTGAGTTCTGGATTACTGAGTGCTGTCTTCACTTGAGTCCCACTGGGCTGGCCAGCCTGACGGGAGGGGCAAGAGTTTGGGTTATAGCAGGGAGTCACCAGGCCAGGTAGCACTTTAGGCTGGCTTGGGATGTCCTCCCAGTATCTGATTAAATATTTGCGTACTCAGAGAAATGATTCTCTTGCTGCTCTGGCAAGAGAACCTCTATGCTCTTGCCTTTACTGAGAACCAAAGGGCGAGGAGAGGGAGGGTGCAGTCTGGTCACGGGTCAGAGATCTTACATCTCCAAAAGGGCTCAGCCTGAGGGTCACTCTTCCACCAGAGCTGCTCCTCCTTCACCTGACCCCAGCCGTACAGGAAGGGGCAACAGGGAAAGGGTCCAGCTACTCACTGGCTGACGGGGCTGGAGACGAGTCAGGTGGGGACTACGCTGAGGTTCTGGAGAAGCAGGCTGTGGTTGGGATCACTGCCCCAGGAGGTTCTGAGCCTCCAAGCCTAGGTACCCTTCAGGCCTCTGCCAGGTGGCCAGGCAAGGCCTGCCTTTCCCTTTCGTTTTCCGGGGGAAGGCGCCAGCAGCTCCGAGGTCCCCATAGGCGGGAGTCCTCTGCGCAGTCTAAGGCCGTAACATCCGAGTGGGCCCTGGGCCCTGCAGTGCAGGGGAAATCCCCCTGGGGCCACAGATCTTGGGGCGAAGGTGCAGTAGAGCCCGAGGGTCAGGTAGGATACCAGGCGGCAGCAGCCCAGGGGCACCACCCACCCAAGGGCTTAGCGGCAGCGGGGGACACCCGGGGCCTACAGTGGCATCTTCAACGGCGGAGGGAGGGAGCAGGTCTGAGTGGTGGGACAGAGACAAAGTCTGCGCGCGGGGACTGCGGCAGAGGTGGCCAGCAGCCCTGGGCGCGGGTTGCCTTAGGCGTGCACGCTGCGCTCACCCTCACGCGCGGCTCGGTGAGGTTGGTCCACACAGCGATCTCCTCCCGCATGCTCATGTCGGGGTAGCGGTTCCTCTGGAACGTGGCCTCCAGCTCTTGCAACTGCTGGCTTGTGAAGTGCGTGCGTTGCCGCCGCTGCTTCTTTTTCTTGGCCGGGTCCTCCCCGCCGCCACAGCCTGCGCCTCCTGCGCTGCTGTCCTCCGGCCCCTTGACATCCCCGCTGCGCTCCTTCTCTGAATCGGGCAGGACAGGCTCCGGTCACCTTGGGCTTATGCTCGTTTGCACCCCGTCCCGGCTCCACCGAAGCGCCTGCCATCAGCGCTGGCGGCCCTTCCCGCCAGGGGCCCTAGAACTGTCCCCACTGGAAAGAGCCTGCTGGCTGCCTGATGGTCTGCAGTCACCTTTGGTCGGTCGTGCCCAGCAGAGCCCAGGAACTGGAGGCACAGGCCTAGGCTCCTGGCTGGGCAGAGCCTGCTCTTGCAGCTGGGCTCAGGCTCAAGCCCCACTGCCTGTGTCACCCGCAAATGTATGAAAATTTGAGGGCTCTTTGGGGTCTAAATCTGGGGGGGGTGTCTCTCTGCTTTTCTGAACTAGGATCAAATCTTTCCAGCCTGAAGCTAGTGGGTCGGGGGAGCAGGGGCCGTGGCCTGCCGCCCCCACCCCACTTTCTTCTCCCCAGGGCTGTGTGGGAGCCACACTGGGCAGGCACAACACAGCTGTGTTCTCAGCCTTTGCTCCAAGCCTCAAGTCCAGAGGCCCAGAAAATCCTTCAGGCGGCAGCTCAGACCGACAGACTCTGTCTGGGTGACCTGAGGCTCTAGCCTTTCACTCTTTCAAGCTACGTAAAACACATTCAGTCACAGACACACTGAAACAAAAAGATAAAATTTAAAAACAAAACATAGAAGCCAAGATAAACGCAGTTCTATCCTAACACCATGGAAAGGCTCACAAACTCTTAAAAAATTAGGCAGGTAGGAACACAGAGCAAATGCAAATTAAGAAGGCAAAAACCTCCCTGCAAACACAGCCCTAACTAAATACAGTGCCGTACTCGTATAAACTCCAGGCGCACACACACACATTTATTTCTCTGGGATTAAAAAAAAAAAACTTAGTGTACTGTTGTAGATAGATTTTTTTTTAACCCCTTCCTAATAATGCCCTTTCTAGAGATAATTTTTAAGTCCTGGGGAAATACAACACTATAGTTAGATAAATTATCAAAATAACCCCACTGCAAATGGATTTTGAAAAAAAAAAAATCCCGGAGAAACGCGCCATTTTGGATTGACTTTTAAAAAATCTCCCCAAGAATAATGTTGCCTGTAGAGATTTTTAAATTCCAGAGAAATATGTCTAGTGTAGTAATTCTTTCTATATCGAAAATTCCAGTTAGCATTTTAAATATGTCCTCATAGATTCGGTTTTAAAAGAGCACTCTACCGCTGCATATTTCTCTGGGTTTTAAAAGTAAAAACCAACCAAAGGCCACGCTTAAAACTTTTGCAAAACAAAAGTACAGTTCAGCGTTGATTGTTTTTTAGCCAAGCAAACAGACCCTCTCCGAGAAAAGTCACTTAGGGATGCAAAACAGAAACAAATAGAGATTAAAAGCGCGTAGAGAAACACTCGGCGGTGGATTAAGAAATGAACGCTGCAGAGGCGCCCGGGGAGAAGGGAGCTCTGCCGCAGCGCCGAGTTGGGACGGTGAGCCCGCGAGCCAAACCGAGACCCCGGAGGCCCGGCCCGGCCGAGGACTAGCCGCGCTGCTGCCCGCACCGTCCACCCGCCGGCCCAGCTCGCGGCCAGCCTGGGGGAAAAAAGCTTGAGCTCGGACAAAAAGGCACCGCGGACGGAGACGTGCCCGAGCAGAGTCAGGGCCCTGGCTGGGCGGCCTGGCGGCTCCCGGGCCCCGCGGCGCACGTGGGGCCGGGCTCCCTCACTGAGGGAGTCCTGCCTGAAGCCGAGCCTCGCCCCTTGGCCCAATCGCCCTCGCTGTCCTGTCTTCTTTTTACTTGAGGTTGTCCACCGCCCCCCCCGTTTGTTTTCTGGCTTTTCCCGCCACCCCTTCTCTTCGATTTCTCCCTCTCAGTCTGTCGCCCCCCGCCTGTCGGGGTGTGTGCCCCCATCTCTCTCTGGGCACTTTCTCTCATCCGCCGCCCCATTCCTTTCTCGATCTACTCCTCTCCTGCGGTCTGAGCGGCCCCTGGGCACCCAGCTGCGCAAACCGAATTTTATTTTCCTGTTCTCTTTGCTTCTTAACAAGAGGGGCTGTCAGTCCGACCCTCCCGTTGTAGGTTTGTGCATCTGCCGGTCTCTTGGCGCGTGGGGACCGGGTGGAAGTAAAGCTCTGATTTTCGTTTTATAAAGCGTGTAAATTTCCGCGTTCACCCTCAGTCCGAGAACGAGAAAAGAAAAGGTCCTGACGCTCCTGGGTGTAGAGGGAGCCCGACTACGCGGCGCGGGCTCCAGGCCCTGCTCCCCGCTCCGTGCGCCCAGCTCGGCTCGGTGCGCGCCCCGCGGGGAGCCGCGCTTACCTGGCAGTTCCGTGTCGGACGACTCGCTGGCGGAGTTCTCGAGCGGCTCGCGGGGGTCGGCGGCGCGGGCCAGGTGGAAGGCAGGCCCCATGTCGTGCGGCGGCGGCGGCGGCCGGAGTCCCTCCGGCAGCCGCTCCAGGCTCATGCCCCCCTTGAAGGCGTCCATGGAGGCGGGGACCGCGGCGGGCGCTCCAGGGGCCGGGGCTGGGGCTGGGCGCGCCCGGCCGCCCTGGCTGCGACCTGCGGGGACAAGAGCACAGCGCCTAAGGGGCTGCCCCCCAGGGCTGCCCGTGCCCGCAACGACGCCGCGCCCGCCCCATGGACCGCCCGGGGCTGCGGGGCCAGGCGGGCGGCAGCGGCAGCGGTTTCTCGCGACCGGATGCCCGGCTTCGCGCTCCGCGCTGCGCTCCCGCCGCTCGGGCCTCTACCGCCCGCCCGGCCCCGGCTCCGGCTCGCGATTCGGGGCCGGTTTCTAAGGCTCCGGACGTCGCCGGCAGAGGCTGTCTTAAAGCGACAGCGCGCACCGCCAGGTTCCAGCAGTCCCTGCGCCAGGGGTGGTGGGTGGGGTGGGCCTGGGTGGGAGGGGGCTGGGGAGGGAGGGAGCCGGCGAGCGAGGGAGCGCGGGCGGAATCCAGCCCCGAGCCGCCCGCCCTCCCGAGCCGGTGCCCTCCCCCCCTGCAGCCCCCCTCCCGCCCCCCCCCCCCCCCCCCCCCCCCCCCCCCCGCCTCCGGCGAGAACAGCCCAGGATGAGAGAATGTTCCCTGAGCAGGATCGCACGGAGCGGGCGGGGGCAGAGCCCGGGGCCCGTTCCGGCAGCTCCCAGCGGCGTCCCCGTCGAGGGGCCGCCGGCCCCTTCTTGCTCGGCCTCTTCTCCCGGGACCTGAGCCCGGCCCAGTGACAGCAGTCTGTGTTCTAATGGGCCCCCGGATGCTGCCTCCTAATTAGCTTGGACCCTGTCCTCCAAGGCTGCTTCTCTGGCCTCCCCCTCTGCACCGCAGTCAATTTTCCGGGATTGGGATAGAACTGATGGCTCCTAATCAGACGAAACGTTTCTGTTGGCTCCAGGCCTCTGGCGAGTGCAGCAGGAGACCCCAAGAGCCCCGCCAGGCCCCACAGCCTCTTCTGTAGGGCTCTCTCCCCTTGTTTTGTGCCAATCTGGCCAAATCAGCCAGGCCCGGGCCTTGGCAGCCAGGGGGTTGGCTTCTGCCCCCTTCAGGGCAGGTTTGCAGCCATCTGGGGCCTCTGCTGTGGCTTCCCAGAGCTGCAGGCACCTGGCCTTGCATGCAGGCCAGGTGCCTGAAGTTTCCCAGCCCTGGGTCGCCAGGCCAGGAAGCCGACCGCCTTTGAGGCTCTCTCTCATACAGAGGTAGCTGAGCTCAGCTCAGTGGGGCCTCCATGGGGGCAGGCACAGCCGATGCCCTCCCCACCCCTAAGAATGACCCCCTTCTGGAGTCCTCCTACTTCAGTGAAGTTTGTTGAAGGATTTTGCTGAACAATTGTTAACCGGCCCTGAGACCTCAGAGTCTCAAGCAAATAGAGGGCGGCTAGGGTGGGAGGGTGCAACCCTGACCTGTTCCTCTGGCCACAGCTGGACCCCAGGCTGCCCTCTGCCCGTCATCTGCTGACCAACTCCATCAGATAGAAGCAGCGCTGGGCAGGGCAGCAACCTGGTGGAGAAGCACTGCCTTACTCTCCAGGCCCTGTGCCCCACCCCAGGGCCCGGTGCATCCCCCCATCTCTTCCTGGGGATCTCTGCTTGGGACTGACTGTGCAGACTGTGAGGATCTGGGATGTTCTGCAAGCACTGCCTTCCAGCCCTCACCCTGGCTCCTCATCAGAAGGAGACCCACAGCCTCAGGCTGAGTTGTTGGGTGAGGATTGCTGGGGTCGGGTGGGTGCAGGGTGGAAACAGGCCTGCCTCTCACTCCCTCAGCCTTAGCCCGAGGTCCCCAGCTCTGGGCCCTGCGAGAAAGCACAGCTCCTTAGGGCTGGCACACCTCTCTCTGGGTGCCTGTGACCGCAGGGGCAGAATCTGGGTCTGAGGCCAGAGAGAGGATGTACCTCAGGGATTTGAGTTGGGGAGGCTCAGCAACTCCTGCCCTTTTCTCCTAGAGGTGAGTTTCTCTAAGTTGAGACCCCATAGGATGAAAATAGTCTTGGGGGTGTGTGTGGGGGGGAGGGAGGATGGCAGGAGGGGGACCTGGGAAGGATGGATGCCCAGCATTTGCCCTCAGCCCCATCTTTTACCACATTTCTTGGTTGCACCTCCTGCAGCAGCAGGTAACTCTTTTCAAAAACAGCGTGTGACCCAGCCTGCCCGGGCACCGGCGAGGACTCGGGAGCATGCGCACATCTAGCATATACCACATAGGAGTGCTGCACACACAGACGCACACGTACTCACTACACCCACCCGTGGGGTGCCGCATATAGTCACATGGGTGCACCCACAGTCAGGCCTCTGGGTCCCAGAACACTGCTCAGCACCAAATCGGGCTGGGAGGGGACAGGAGGTGTGTTCTAAGGCTGCCAGTTGTCAGGCCAAGGTGGGAAGCACAGTGCCCTCCGGGGTGGTGACATGGAATAGATGGCGGACCGATAGGCGTCCAGAGGCTGAGAGCCCTAGCCTTCCACTGTCCACGGGGCGCAAAGAGTCACATCTTCCACGGACAGAGACCATTCTGTGACTCTGCAGCTCTAGCTGGTCTGTCTGAGGGGTTCGCCTCCCTCACCGTTGATGCATTGAATGCAGTTATTGAGCACCTGCTGTGTGCTCCTCTGAACCCAAGCCTCTGGCAGTGTTCTAGGCAGTCACAGTAGTCCCTCTATTTGGAAATCTTGATGCCTGCTGTTGGATGGACGGGAAGGCCCTCAGACTATTGCGGATGAAGCTCCATGTCCCCAGGGGCTCGGAGCTCTAAAGAGGGGCTGAAACAAGTAGGGACTGTCCAAGGGAATCTGTTCTGATGCCACCCCTGGCCCCCCGCCACGGGCAGTGCTGAATGAGCAGGAGGTAAGGAAGGGGTGATTGATCGTGAGGACACCCTGGCCTGCGGGCGTTGGCTGGAGAAGGAACATGGGCACTTTCTTTTCTTCCCCAGCCTCACCCTCTGCCGGGCCCTGTCCCAGGCAGGGAAGGGGCTTCGAGCACACTCCCAGCCACACATCACACACACGGGACAGGACGCAGCTCTCTTTCAGGAGTAAAAGCAGGGGTTCAGTGTTCTCCCTGCTCTGCCGTCTGACCTTGGGCAAGGCTTGGCCTGCACTGTGCCCCAGTCTCCATGTCTGACGTGGGACGCCGCGATTCCTACCTGCTGCTTCAGCTTCCATCTTACTTGGCAGATGGGGGCGGGGGAGAGGAGGGAAGGGGGCTTATGGGAGCTGGAACCATGCGCCCTATTCCCCACCCCTCCAGGCCACGCAGAGCTAGCAATGATTCTATGACTTTCAGGAAATTTGGAGGCTTAGAGTCCTGGCTGGGTTGAGCGGAGGAGCCTAGGCTGTTGTAGGGTTTGAAGTAGTCACCATAGGGACCTTTCCTGAGGCTGGGCTCGCTCAAAACAGATTTTGTGCCCAAGAATGGTTTAGCAATTTTGTTTGGGAAGAGTGGTTGGAGGGCCCTCATGGAGGGCATCCTTCCACACACTGATGGGGGGGGGTACCCTGCCCTAATCTTTGCACTAGAATCAAGGGATTTTAGGAAAAGGGAAGGAATGTGCCGTGGCTTGCCCTCGAGGCCATCCATGACTCTCTGGGACATTCCAACCCTAAGCCTCTTAGGCCGTGGAGAAGTTCAAACTAGAAAACCCAGTTTTGGGAGTGCATCTGGGACCACCTACCTCCTTCTGTCTGCTCTACCCCCCCCCAATAAAAGCTCTTGTTTCTTTGAATACAAGCAATGACTGGGTGAAGGGGGAAAGGGGTGCTCAGGTAGGGGCTGGGAACCTTCTCACTGGATTCTCTAGGCTTCCAAGGACCCTAGCCTGAGCCTCCTTGTTATCTGGGCTTCCCCAGCTTGTCCTGGTGCGGAGACTTGGGATGTACTCAGGCAGGATGGCCGAGTGGGGTGCCTATGGGAGCATGGAACTCGGGACTCTGGCAGAAGCTGGCAGGGCTGGCCTCATGGCTCCCCCGAGTCCACTCCCTGGTCGTTCTCTGGTTCCCGAGAATGGCTGAGCTGAGGGGCAGAGAAGGCTGGGCAAGTGGCAGGGGCTGGTCGCACAACTGGGGAGCAGAGGGCCAGCTTATGCCGTCACCACAGCCTCCCCTTCCCAGGAGCTGCTTTCTTGAGCGAAGGGCACAGCCCAGAGTCCTGGCAGCCTGGTCTCCATGCCCCCGTCCACCTATTTTCCTTTTCTGAGCAGAGATGAAGAGTTCCAAGCAGTATGAGCAAAGGGGAGGGAGCCGGCCAGTCCCCCTCCCGGGCCGCCTCTGCAGCCTGTAGCTTTAGCCACTACCCTAGACCTGTGTCTTTGGCCAAGTGGACAGCAACCTGGGACTTCCTTCCTCTGGCCCCCGATTGGCTCCAGAGGCCACTGGGATGCCAAAAGAGTACCCAAGCCTTAGATTCTCAGAAAAGTGGGCTCAAATATTTTTAGATTCAGGGAATTCCTAAATCAGAACACCTTGGAACCAGGATTCCAGCCTGGGGTTCCCATTTCTGCCATTCTGGCCTCGGGGTCCTCGCTTGACCACCTCTGGTGGCTCAGATTTAGGAGGCTGGTCAATTTCAGAATTCCAAGACCCGGTTCTAGAGAAGCGGCTGTGTGCTCGGGAACCCTGCGTCAACAACCAAACCCCGGAGAAGCCGCGGGAATGTCTTTATTGGAGTTTGCGAAGAGCATTTCTGGTTTCTGTCTGGGTAAGGAAAAGCCCGACCCTTGCGGGCGAGGGCAGGCCGCCGTGGGCTGGGGGCGCCTCGGAGCATGGCGGCGGGGCGTCGGGGTCCTCGGCGAAGAGAGCCGGGGCTCCGGCCGATGTCTGTTGCTTTTCTGCTGCATAACTGCCCGAAGGAACCAACGAACCAACGAATGAAGCGGTATCGTTTAGAAAAAATACCCTCTTGACGCGAAGCTGCGGCTCAAGTCCCTGGGCGTGCAGAGGGGCCAGCGGTTTCGCTCGTGCTGGGGCCCCCATTCCGCGGCGCATCGGGAAGCGGCGGGC